TAATTAATTGTAATAAATGTAAAATAAATTATTTTTCGCAATGCTCTGTGGTTTCACACGGCAAAGCTGCGTACATACATTTTTATGTTTATTATTTAGTTAGCTGCGGAATAGTTTTAAATACATTTAATAACAACAGACGTACTTGAAAAAATGTTAATAATTAAGAGCAATATATCTAATCTTTATAAAACTATTTATTCAAATTGTTCATTAAATATCAAATGGCTGAGCAAAAGACAGCAGCGTACAATCCTACAGGGAGAGGACAAAAAGAAGGGCATTAGAAAACCACAACGCAAAATTAATAAGATGAAGACTTAAAAAGTGATTTTGTAGATACGTTGGCAGTAGTAACTTTTCGCCTTATCTGTAAAGGTTTAGTTTTATTCGGATATGTTGGCACTTACAGTACACTTATGTTTTAAATAAATTGTAATGGAAGCTGTTTTTATGTGTATTCTTTTCAGTCCTCTGCGTAACTGCTGCTGTACTTTACATATGTATAAATAATATTGACTATTTTTTCTTTTACTCTGTACGCATAAATATTTGCGTTTGTGCTTATAATTTATAAATTAGACTGTGGCTATTACAGTATGTTGTTACGTAATATAAATATGAAATTTGTAGGCACTTAATTAGGTTATTCGTAATGGTGAAAGGAATAATCTTCGATTTGAAAATATCGTATATGCTTGGCTTTATGACTTCCCTGCCGCATTACGCGCACAGTAATTTTTGCAGATTAGAAGTCTGCATTTTCAAAATATATTCTCAATATAGACAATAAAAGGCGAGCACTTAAAAGTTCTTCTTCATGGACATTTCGTGGGCCTTGCGCAAACGTTGCCTTAATTCGCTTGGAAAACGTTCGTAGCATTTCTTGCAAACGGGCTTCTCATCGTATTCGTAAAATTTTGATTTCTGCGTCATTTTCATATCACAAACGGAGCAAGCGAAATGATGCACACACCAAGCTTTATTGAGTGCAGTGAATACTATAATTAAGCCAAATCAAAAATATTAGTATATTGTGCATGTCAGCCAAAATTGTATAAAATTACCATCGCCTGCTATGACTTGATTGCAAACGAAGCATAAATTGCCGAACAATTGGTGGTAATGTGTCTCACAATAGGCCAAACCGCGCTTTTCGTAATGCCGATGGCCCAAGAATGGTTTTTCGCATTTGGCGCACACAAAATGCTACAAAAAAACGCACAATAAGAAAGCAACGATATATGAACGTTTGTTAAAAAATACGTGAAAGTAAGTGTGAAAATAAAATAAAATTAAAAATTCACCTCCACATGCCAATGCTTGCCTAAAGCGGTGACAACTCGTTCCTCGATCGGACGTCGGCATGCACCACAAATCGGTATGCCCATCTTGTCGTGGCAGCGTAAGCAATATAATTCGTTCTATAGATATTAGCAAAAAATGGAAATACTAGCAGATGTATATGCGTGTGCAATAGTGTAGCCTCAGGTCCTTACCATATCGTTGGCCGTTAAGCCCGGTCGGCTCTTGACTTCACGTGCTGTCGAGTCCAGCTCCACACCACAGGCAGTGCAGTTAAAATGATAGCCGTGATAGACTTCGCCACGAAAACGCAAGGGCGCGTCGTCTATTACGCCGCTGCAATTATGCAGAAATTCGTAAATTTTTAAAATACTTCAAACACAAAAGAAAGCCTTTACTATCTTCAGCAATTGCATTCAACTTACTGACACTTATGGCACATATAACGACCCGTAATCTCGGCCTTCACTTTGGCATTGCACTCATGGCATAAGGCACGATTCTGATTGCGTATAAAGCCGGTATCGGCCAACTCTTTGGCACACATTTGGCAGCGGAAGCACTGTGGATGCCAGCTAGCGCCCATTGCTTTGATAACACGTCCAATTACGAACTCGCCACACTTATTGCAACACGGTGCGAAAAGCACATGGAAATCACGCTCACAGTATTTACGTCCTTCGAATTCGTAGAAGATGCCATCTTCAAAAGGTCGGAAGCATTGCGCACAACTGTAAAAAACAGGAAATGTTTAAATAATAAAAGTGTATAATTTTATTTTGTGGTTTACAACTTACACAAAGCACTGGGTATGCCAGAGTTCACCGTTCGAGTTGACGATCTTCTCGTTGGGCTCGAATCCGTCCGCACAGCGGGCACAATGCATAGCAGCTAGCGACATGTCAGCTGCTTGTACTCTAAAAAGAAAAGAAATGTATATATTTGTTGTTATCCTTTCACAGGAAATTCGAGTCAATTATTGAATTATTATACTTTATGAGTTACATTTTTATTTTTGAAGGCATATTTAATGTTTGAAATTCTTAAATGTTCACTTTCAACGTTTAGTTTACACTAAACTGATAAGTAACTTCGCCGACACCGACAAGTCTTGAAAACTCTTTTTTATCGTTTGTTTCTTTATTTTCCACATGCTAAGTGATTCATTTGTATTCCCTTCGCATACGAAATACTTATGGTATTCACAAGTGACCGACCTTCAACTTTGTGTAAAAATATTTTTTGATAAGCTTCTACATATGTAAATACATACATTTGTTTTATCTATAAAAAATATGCTGCGTCACTTCCTAAAAATAACTATATGTGCATACTTATGTATTTATGCCTCAACGATAATTTTTGGGTATGGACTTATGCATTGCTGGAGTTTATAAGCAATTGCTTAACTTAAGCTTAAGCAACTTAAGTTACCTTAGTGTTTGTAGAAGTACCTATACATATATGTACATACATATATAATGGTCCTTGACCGTAACTCATAGTGTCCGTAAGCGTAAGTTGTTGATTAACTTCGGACTACGGCGATAGCAAAATAAAAATAATATGCCTTACATCGAATGCAAAGTATAGTCTGTTTTTAGCCCCTTTATGCTTATGCTTTTTTTCATTTCTTCAAGTTCATCAAGGTAAGATGACTCCTCTGTCGGGTTGCGGATTTCATACCAAGAAGCTAAGCTTCACAATATACATACCTATATTTTGTTTAAAATGTGTAACCGCTATAATCGGATCTTCACTATGATATTAAAAAGCTGACTTCTATTTTGGACGACGACTACTTTTACCTGTTTTTTTTTTTTTAGTAGAGCTTTGATAAACAATGAAATATGTATATTATGCAAAGATTAATGTACAAATATGAGCAATTGCATCACTACCATGAACACCAACTAACCACCAGGTGATTTTAATAATTTATGAAAATATTTTGAATTTCGCTTGCGTTTCTAAACCGAAAGTTGTTCGCCCACAGAGCACATAGAAACTAAATCAGGGCAAACTGAAGGTGCGCTACTAAAATGGATAACGACCGTGTGCTGCACGGAATGGCGTGACCATCGAGAATATTGCAAATAGAAAATACAACTCGCTCAATGTGTCAAAGCTTTGCGGTAGACAGATGGTGGCAAGCGCGCTCCATATACAAATGAAGCCTTTATTACTCGCATTCACATAAGTATATATGTACATATGATTGTGAGCTCCAACATAATTTATTGCAATTCAGTGACATAAAAAGGGCAGCTGATATGTATGGGTACAATGTCATATAGTTATATGCATATTCATATGCATACAATCATACATAGTAAGTGTACTTTGTGTATCCATTTGTAAAGACACTGATGTGACTCCCCCCGTCAGAAAGAAGATTTCGGTCTCACCTACTTATGGTATACATATGAATGCATATTTGTACATACTGCGGTTATGCCTGTGGGGAGATTACTCACAAATTGGCAGAAGTTCAAAGAATTTAAAAACATAATTTTTCTCAGATTGACGATGTACATATGTATGTATGTTCATGTGTAATGTATTAGGGCTGGGAGGTCCATCCGGATATTCGAATCGGGGACCGTAACGGTTATGATCTTTATATTAAAAACTAAGATTAAATATGTAAAATTGTATTTATATTTCTCCGATTAAATTTAACCGTTAATTTATGATTTTTATTTCTCCGATTTTTCTTTAACCTTCATTTTCAGTTTTATTTATCATCGAATATAATTTTAAAAGTCATAAAAATGCAGACATAATTTTCTCGGTTAAAAATTATCGAAAAAATAAAAATCCAAAATTTTACGATTGTTATTGATTTAAGAAATAATGATATAAAAATATTGATATTTAATAGGTATTTTCGGTTTCTGATAAAAAAAATTCTAATATCAGGTTAGCAAAATGAACGGACATTAATTAACCGGGTATCCGGATTTTCGATACCAATTATTTGCGTAATAATGAAGTGTACTATAATTTATTTTGCAACACAGTAGAGAACAATTTTACTAATCTCTTCAAAACTTCTAGAATATCCGGATATAAACAGAATATACGGGTGTACGAATATCCGAACGGATATGCGAATATATGGATAGCCTAGTATATGTATATGTATGTATGTACACACATGTAGATGTATACATGCATCAAGAATAATATGCATGTAGGATTATATCATGTCATGTTTGGCTTTAATTAAATAACAATCAAACTCGCAGTGAAGGCGTTTGTAGTACATATAGCCTTCAGTTATGTGAATATAGTTTACTTAAATATACCGCTCTCACATCCCCTTTTACGTTCCTGCCGTTAGGACTAACTACTCATCTTTTGCGCCTATTTTTCGAGGCCTTGTGGAATTTAACAATATCTCAAAGAGCTTAGATATCGACTTTTCGTTTCCAAGAAGTCTTTTTAAATCAACTCTTGAAACCTATTTTCGTAATTGTACATATACTAGTCACCGTTAATACTTTTTAGCTCTAGTCTGTAAGATTGTAAATCTTAGACTGAATAAAGATGAATATGAATATGAATAAATAGGTTTTATACTTCCAGCCAAACATTTAGTGTTTGAAAGCAACGATTTTTTTTATACGATCAATGATCCAAGCACATGTAGCCAAATCCATTTGGTTTTATTTTTATGTTTGTAGGTATGTAGCAATTTGCGTACATATGTATGAATATCCATAGTAAAAAAATTAAGATACTTGGCTATAAATAGAATTTTGTGTTGGTGGATGACGTCATTGATGAGCAAATACATCTGGGGTGGGCAAGCGTTTTAATTAGAGATTGCGTTCACAAGCCTTTGCTGCTACTATGTCCATTGAAATTTGAAAATTATGTGTAAGTGTATTAAAAATAGTGCATTCTATGCTGCGGAATTTTCAATTATACACTACAATACAGTGCACCAGTACATACTACCAAGCTTTTTGACGTGGGCGTCATTCATAATAAGCAAATGAATGAAATCGATTGGAATGCAGACACCGAACTAAGTTGGTTTGATGTTTGTTGGTGCTCCAATTTACAAGGTTAAACCTGTTATGATCTGGTATTAAGACGTATGTTATAAATGGCTTACTGAACGGGCGGCATATTGGGCGTTTACTTAATTGCAATAATGCACGCTTGTTCCAAATGTATGCACTTGTTTTCTAAGCACTTGGCGCTACACAACTAACACACAGCACGTTTGTATTTCAACTACTTTCCATACGATTTCGGAATGACCGATTGCTAAATTGCTAGTGCTGACTGAATATTGGTAAGAGCCCACTCGCGATCTTCGCTTTTAACCCCAAATTAGGCAAATCAAGATTTTTATGTTTCCGCTGTCTTTCCCAATTCAAGAGGATGTCGACTGCTTCTCTGCCACTGTTGCTTGTAGAAATTCCGCACTTAACTTACTTTGGTTTTAACTTATTTACACAAGTTTCATTTACCTGTTGCACTTACTATCAATTCTTTAATTTTGCTGACCCAAATTGCAAAAAAACAGAGAGATATTTCCAAAAATTGAACAACACGAATGAAATCAAAGCAGATAATGAAAAAATTGTCAAATTGACAAGATGAGCTCAGGTGAAAATAATGCTGCCACCTGAGCTAAAGATTTAATTCAGCGCCACCTGTTGGAAAAATTCTAAAATAGCTGTTAAACAGGAATACTAGCCGGGTGGCTATGCTATTGGGGCATTAATAAAGTAAACAAAAACAGCTGATTATAATTATTACTGGATTAAATCAAATTGGCTTCAATCAACGTTATGAATCTTTTTCGCAGCGCAANTGTTTCCGCTGTCTTTCCCAATTCAAGAGGATGTCGACTGCTTCTCTGCCACTGTTGCTTGTAGAAATTCCGCACTTAACTTACTTTGGTTTTAACTTATTTACACAAGTTTCATTTACCTGTTGCACTTACTATCAATTCTTTAATTTTGCTGACCCAAATTGCAAAAAAACAGAGAGATATTTCCAAAAATTGAACAACACGAATGAAATCAAAGCAGACAATGAAAAAATTGTCAAATTGACAAGATGAGCTCACGTGAAAATAATGCTGCCACCTGAGCTATAGATTTAATTCCGCGCCACCTGTTGGAAAAATCAAAAAATAGCTGTTAAACAGGAATTCTGGCCGGGTGGCTATGCTACTGGGGCATTAATAAAGTAAACAAAAACAGCTGATTATTATTATTACTGGAATAAATCAAATTGGCTTCAATCAACGTTATGAATCTTTTTCGCAGCGCAACTCGTAAGTTTAACATTAACAATGGAGTAAAAATTAAGAAAAAATTGCATTGTTTTCCTAGTTACATTGCGCTCCGCCCAATTGCACAGAATGTTAGCCGCGCCACAAACTGCGCCCATAGAGGCAGCAATACGTGCAGCACTCACAGTCAGTTTACAACCAGTGCATTTGGAAGTTATCAACGAGTCATATATGCATAATGTACCCAAAGGCTCGGAAACCCATTTCAAAGTGCTGATAGTATCTGAAAAATTTGATGACTTATCATTGATAAAGGTATAATATAATTCATTAATTTATATTTTTATAATAATGTGACTTCATCTCTTTTAAAGCGTCACCGTTTAATAAATTCTATTGTGAAAGAAAAGTTAGCGGGCGATTTTGTGCATGCACTATCCATTGAGGCTAAAACCCCAAAGCAGTGGGATGGCAACTACACTGTAGAACCCAGCCCAAATTGTCGCGGCGGATTCGGTAAATAATTGCAAAATGATGTAAACTTACACTGTTTAAAATATCTATATTGTTAACGAAATATGCAATGTATACAATTTATGTAATAGAAGGGAACGTCTGTGATTAAAAAATTCCAACGCAATCCTTCATCACCGAAATCACCACACCGCTTTATTATAATTTTCAAATCTTTCAATCAATCATCCAAGGCATTCAAGGTCTGCACTTGCGTTCGTGCCGATAATATAACATCATTAATACCAACTCCATCATATGCTGCACCACATAATGTCAGCGGTAGTTTATATTGATTTATGTATCGCCTTATGTCGGCTACACGTTGCTTATGTCCCACCGTATATTGTGGTATGCACTTTTTTAAAACGTGTACCCGTGACAATCGTGGTTCATCTTTTATCCCCATAACCAGTTCCAGATGCTGCAAAGCTGTGTCCAGAAGCTTTTTTGGTGTGGGCTCCTTACCAAAATTCTCCTCAAACCAACGTCCTCCCATCATTACTGTAAGTACCGTATTGCCCTCCATGTCAAAGCAACAACTGTCAAAGATAACACCCAATATAGGCAGTCTTTCAATGGGCGGCACTAAGAAACCAAATGCTTTCATCTTAAACAGTTCCTCCGTATTATATTGTAAGTTAACTACAGCAACATCAACGTAGGGTATAGACATCAACAATGCTGCCAATGACGGATGTTGATTTTTCACACAGGAAGCTAACTTGTAAGAAGGTAAGGATGAAATTACATGTTTCAGGTCAATGTCACGCCCTTTAACATTCATTTTAACACCATTACGTGAAAATGTGATCTCTCGACACTCAGCTGAGAGCTGAATATTAACGTTCTTTCCTCGCAAATGATTACTCAGTGTGCGTGGCAACGTTTCCAACCCATCAGGTACCCGGTACATACTCCACTTTTCTTCACGCGCCTTTTCGTACAGCCTGGGCATTGCTTCCGCAAAGATACCTTCGATAGCCGTGTTTTGTTTCTTACCAAAGAGTTTTTCGAATAGCATACCCTTAATAATGCCACCCCATTTTTGTTCCTTCTCAAATAGGTCGTTCATCAGAAAACGCACGCTTATCTCTTTTGCGTCACCAGCACAGATGCCACATATCAATGGGCTGATTGCGTAGTTGGCTAATTCAGCGCCAAAGCGGCGTTCAACGAAGTCATATATAGATTCGTCTGCGAACTTCAACTTTTTTCTACCTGCCCGTAAATCTTGCGTGATCTGACTTATCAGCGGTTTTGAGAACGGTGGTAATGTCTTGAAAACTCCGCTCAGACTATTGGGTAGCATACATAATTGTCCTTTAGCGTATATCATGCGATTCTTTGCAGCAGGCTGCCAAGCCAACACTGGGTCAACCGGCAACTGTAGTTCTTCTATTAATTTGAGGGTATTTGCGCCAGGTATACCCTTTGGTCGTATTGTGCGTGGGCCCACTTCGAACAAGAAACCCTTATCCCTATGTCTTTCTGTGCGTATCCAACCGCCGACCCTATTGGAGGACTCGTATATAGTTGCAGGATATCCAAATCGCTGAAGCAAATAGTAAGCAGCCGATAGACCACTCATACCAGCACCTAACACAGTGGTCATTTTGTTAATAGAAAACTATTCTAAATTACGAAACCCAGCAGACTAGTTGAACTGCAATAGAAAAATTAGCTACGTTTCCTGTGAAAAAAAGCAAAACTTCACAGTAAAAACGACAATCAGCACCTTTGTTTGGTTTATGATTTGTTTTGCTTTAATTTGTTGATAAGCGGCCCAGCTGATTTGTGGGCATTGGTGGTGGGAAGTTGGTTAATCAAAACCACAGCGGCGGGAAGCTTTAAAAGTACAACGAATTATTAGGTGCAATCCCGTATTCCTCGGACTCGGACTAGTAAAACTGTCAAAAAATAAAAATTCGCTCAGAGCGAGAGAGTAACAGTGAAAAGTACGGGATCGCTTTCTAGTGAAAAATGGTAACTTCTGTCAACTTCAACATAACCTCCAAATTTTGGTTGTAAATTTTTGTTTATTTTGTATGTAAACACACTTAGCTCACACATGTAAATAACCAAAAATACTTTCAAATTATTAGAATCCACTTAAACAAGTAATTAAATACTTTTCAACATGAATTAGCAGAGTGCACTTTTCTTTTGTTTACAATTTGGTTGCCAAACACACTACAGCTGATCGTTTGACACATTTACCAGCAAAAAATTCTCGGACTAAAACTGGTAACTTCTGACAGAGAGAGAACCGTATTTACTCTCTTTTTTGTCCTCTCAATAGTCAGAGAACTGAGTACAGGATCGATTTCTAGTAAATTCTGACTGATTCTGACTAGTCCGGACTCGTACGGGATCGCAACTATTTTATGTGATAAAATCTTGAAGCTAAAGAACGTAAACAGATTTACGTTCTTTATCAAAATCAGCGGTGTGACAAAAAATTAAACGAACCTTGCAGTTGGGATTCGGTTCATTAGTTTGGCACTGTAACCGTCTAAGCGATTTCGGCCGCGTTTAATAAGCATACAATTCTCTCCTCTTCTATGAAATCTGATGCTAATTGGAAATGTTTAATGAAGCCAATTCCTTCTCCGCTCGGCCATTTCATCGCAGACCATGCAGATGCTGAAAAAGCTAGGACCTTCGTGACTCCACCGTATTGAATCCTGATTACCCCCGAGAATTGGAAAATATTATTTATAGTATTATTCCACTTCTTAAGCCAGGGAAGAAGGCGGAAGCAGGATACTCATATAGGCCCATCTCCTTCCTATCCACAGTGGACATTGAAAGCACCACTCCTCTACAACCTGACGAAGCATCTGGAACAAGCTTTAAAAACCAACATAACACAGATAAGCGAGGGTCTGAGCCAACGTCGACCTGGTAATAAGACGATCCTAGTCGTAGTTGAACTGTCAAAAGAATTCAACACACTGAACCACTGTGAACTCTTCGCCAATGCGTTCCCCTTGACAGTCGGTTCTAAGTAACCGGAACGACCCAGATTCATATCTAGCCAAGGACTGTCACTTCAGCATCTCTTCCCAAAAACTCTGCGGATTTCGTATGCGTTACAACAACAACAACTCTTTGCCAAGATGTTTTAGATTTGTCCCTTCCAGTTTGGACGAAGCGATGGATAACGACATATTTGTGTAGATGCCAATCATAGGACAAATTACGAAACGCCAAGTCCAAAACGCCTATAATTAAAAAGGCGTCCCTCAAGGCATCGTACTTTCACCATTACGGTTTAAGCACTACAAAGCAAAACTCCCTCCACCTCTGGCTGGAGTTAACTTGGAGAGCTACACCGATAATTACACGGGCCCAAACATCGACAGCCTTTGCAAAAAAATCACTGACCACCTTCATTATCAGGCTTGTACTGAACGTCCACATCGATGGCGCCAAGATACTGATGGCCAATCAGTCCAAAATCCTGGTAGTCACGATCAATAGCCATTTCTTATTATCTATCCTGCCACCAGTAACAAACTGCGAGCCAGGAACAAAGTTATGAAGTCAAAAGCAGGAAGTACAAGGGGAGTCGACAAATAGACGCTGCTCAAAGCATATGCATAAAGTGATCTGCCGGTCAGTGGCTAACTCAGCAGCGCCAGTGTAATAGGCAGGAACGAGCGATACGCTGTGGAGCCACTTACAAACCTGCCGGAATGACAGAACGTACATGGCTACAGGCTGCAATCTCATGTCATCCGTGCCTCACCACCACGAGAGAAAGCCAGCTTCTAGCTCCGAAAGAGCACAACACCATGCAATGCCTAGTAGGATGTCACGCGCACAAGGCTTTGTTTCGCAAGGATCTGTCCTCTCGACATGTGAGACAGCTACTGTGCGACTGGACGAATCGAAGTACAGAGCGGCAATATGCCGAGAAAGATCACCTGAATCCTATCCCAACTTAGTTCATTGTGGTGCCAAAGGCTCGACCGCTACCTTTCTCGGCACAACTCAGAAGTGGAAAACCCAAGCATATCTTCGCATGCACCTCCAACCCGAAAACCCTGGCATCAGAATCACCATGAACTGTGCCTATCGATATCGCCCGCTTTCTCGTCCTGTGGCTAGCACAGCCTGAGGATGAAGATAACTCATGACAAGATCCCGGAAGGTTTGAGCAATCAGTGGCGGATTTACAGATACGCCCTAGTTGGTCTGGCCTTGAAAAGAAAACATGACAAAGTCCCTTCTGACAATGCACAAAGCGTATTCACGTATAGGGACACAAGTGATTCTTGGCAGTTAGTAAAGGACTTATTTTGGATCCAGCATGAAGAAGCGAAGAATAACTCTTTCCAACAGGTGCCACCTTGGACTCGGGAGGCAATTTCAACACAAATCTCTCATCATGTTCGTCGTTTTGTCTGGCAAACAAAAGGGGTTGGTGTGGAACAAAGATGAGAATGCTTTAGGGGCAATGTCTATGGCCATGCTCGTGATTGACGAGTAATGGGGCATATAAAAATGCAACGATACTGGCTTGGAGGCCTTGGACCCTGCACCAATGGATGGAAAGCGAAGCGCACTTACACAGTTCAATGACAAAGTACAGAAGTATTTTTGGTCTCGGGCAAAATAAGAAGAAAAAAGGTAGATATATAGGCTGCTAATTAAAAAGGGCTGTGCACCGCGGTCCTCACAACATCACATTTAGTCCTACAATCCGCAGACATTCTGAAAGAACTTTCGGAGGCAGTGTACATTCCCATGGCCATACATAACTTTGTACGGGGGCCATAAACGTCTGCCTCGATACCCTCTGTGGTTTTTAAGCCATGTGTGTACTTCTGAATAGTGATTGCCTGTACATGTTCCTTCAAAATAGAGTTGTTTCATTCTTCTATGCTGCACAGCTAGCTGGGACTCTAGCATGCCCATGTTCCTGGACCTCTACCGAAGCCATATCTTGCGAAGTTCAGGATAGTACGCTTGGCTGCCTTCTCTATGGTAATATGTAGTGGCTCGATGTCGAGAATCACCGCCAGTTCTGCCTTGAGGCATGTACTCATCGCTGCCATGATCTACACAGATGCCATACGTTGGAGTTTTGTAAGGGACTGTCTAGCCGTGATTAAACTAGTTCTCATATGTAATTAATGGCCATACTATCAGAGTGTACATTTATCTCAGGAACTTTGGGCTGCACCCCCAAGAGTTGGCTGCTAGCAGTAGTAGTTAATGACCTCGTAGCCTTGGAAAGTGTCGCATCAGGTTGAGAATTATAGAATACAAGATCATACCGAGATACTAAACCTCCGTGAAAACACTGACTGCCACACTATCATAATTACGATGGTCGGCTTAAATGGGACTAACAAAAAAAAAAGAAAAGGTCTTGTTCTAATAGCGGTCCCGCTCGGCAGGCAAGGGCAAACCTCCGAGTGTGTTTCTGCCATTCTCATAAAACTACAATCTGCGTTCGGAGTCAGCGTAATCTTCTTTGGCCCTGATAACGGACTCGTGGTCTGCACACTATACCAGCTAGCACTCGGCACTAGCTAGCTCTTTCTCAACGTATATCCCATTTAGGGATGAGTGGATGGAGGGCGGTGGTTGGAGGGAGGTACTGGTGAACTTTTACACGGATGGGTCGAAGCTTGACGGGGAGAATGGTGGAGTGTTCTTTTCCAGGGAGCTCTCCATCAACCTTAAATTTAGGCCTCTAGCTCACTGCAGCGTGTTTCAGGCGTAGGTTGCCGCCGTAGGTGAGGCAGCAGTCGATTGACGGCTGTTGCGCGCGATGATTTTAAGGGAGGGTAACATCTACTCAGACAACCAGGCGGCACTAACAGTACCTTAAATCGGAATGCCTTAAATCGCTTTCGCTAGCGTTAGAATATTACTTGGTTAGATTTATTTGGTTGCCAGGCTACAGTGATGTCGCAGGAAACTGCCAGAAGCGGCACCCTTGAGTATTTATCGCCAAGAACAGCGATGGTGGGCATTCCTTTGACTACTTGTGGACTTCTCTTGGAAAGATGGGCCTGGAGCCAACACAGCGAATGGAGGATAATGTGCTACGGCGAGGTTTTTCTGGCCGAGGGCAAACCGGCGGCGGTCTAGGGATCGCCTTAGGCTCGCGAAGCCGGATCTATCGATTCTAGTGCGTGTATTGGTAGTGAGATTAAATATCTTATCGGACGCCTTTTGTCGAAGCTGTATGGAGGACGACGAGGTGGAATCATCTCAGCATTTCCTCCTACATAGACTGCCCAGCTTTTACTAAATTGCGGCTTAGGCACTTGGGTTCTTCCTTTCTGACAAGTCCGGAGGAACTCTCCGAAATTAAGGTTTGCCGTCTGCGTAACTTCGTTCCCGGCACTCAGCGATTCTTGCTCTAACTTAGCAGTTACCCTTCGCAGTCGTATCACAAAGGACCAACTTTTATGGTGGGTAAGTGAGCCCCTTAACGGGGGCATCCATCTGAATCTAACCTAACGTACTGTCAAGGTTTCGAGCTATGTTCTTACTTAGTAATTACTTGAGTAATTGAAGTTCTTCAAACTAACATGTTTAACCGAATTTTTGCTTATGGAAAATATTCAGGCAAGGTCTTCTCACATACCTGGGAGCCGTACAGTAATTTATTAAAAGAAAAAGGAGATTTTCCTAAAAACCAATGACCGTAGGTACTGTTTTTTTTTTAATTCGAACCCACAATATCCGGTTCAACTGATAATGCCACACGCAAACTCGCACAACGCCTGCAGTAATTTAAACACTTTGCGCATAATGAATCTTAGTTCGCATCTTATCCAAAATAATCACATCCTCTGTACGCATATACATGCATACATATTAATCCCTTGCAAGTGTGAAGTTTAATTTGAGCCGGAAATAAGAAGTGCACAACGGAAATGTGTCTACTTACCGCATAAAATAGGGGGAATAAAGCATGAAACGACATAAATGGCGATTTTCCATTTACATATCTACATATAAAGGAAACATTTAAAAGAGCGGCGCCGGAAGTAGAGAAATACGTACAAGCAGCTGAAGTGAAGTACGAACAAAGCAAATATGAAGTAAAAACGACATCATTTCATTTTTGCGTGTTGCAAGAAAAGCATTGAAACAAAGCACAGGATAATGGAGGAGTGAAGGCGAACATAAACCGTGACAAACAAATTGGCGCAAAACAAATATAAAATACGAAATTAACCAACAAATTAAACAACAAAAGCAGCCTCTTCTAATGTAGTAGTGAATAACGGCGAACAACAGCGAAATGAGTGNATATCCGGTTCAACTGATAATGCCACACGCAAACTCACACAACGCCTGCAGTAATTTAAACACTTTGCGCATAATGAATCTTAGCTCGCATCTTATCCAAAATAATCACATCCTCTGTACACATATACATGCATACATATTAATCCCTTGCAAGTGTGAAGTTTAATTTGAGCCGGAAATAAGAAGTGCACAACGGAAATGTGTCTACTTACCGCATAAAATAGGGGGAATAAAGCATGAAACGACATAAATGGCGATTTTCCATTTACATATCTACATATAAAGGAAACATTTAAAAGAGCGGCGCCGGAAGTAGAGAAATACGTACAAGCAGCTGAAGTGAAGTACGAACAAAGCAAATATGAAGTAAAAACGACATCATTTCATTTTTGCGTGTTGCAAGAAAAGCATTGAAACAAAGCACAGGATAATGGAGGAGTGAAGGCGAACATAAACCAACCGTGACAAACAAATTGGCGCAAAACAAATATAAAATACGAAAATAACCAACAAATTAAACAACAAAAGCAGCCTCTTCTAATGTGGTAGTGAACAACGGCGAATAACGGCGAAATGAGTGTATTTAATGAGTTTTCGTATCGATTCGGAAAGGCCGACAATTGGACGCATACCGAAAAAGCTTGCAACGATGGCAACTACGATGGCCTGGAGAAAATCTGCACCTTTCAGACTTGTATCCGCTGCCGTTGCGAAAGGTTCGTTCGTGTTTGCGCTGCGTGGCCGTGTGTGTGACAAAGCAGAGCAGTGAAAAAAAAAACAGAGCCACCAAATAGAATAGCAGATTTTTCTTCAGCAAATACATACACAAAAGGCATTTAAAATTCAAATTTGTGATTGAAAATGCACAATTGCACGCTGAAGAGTTAAATTGCAATAGTGAAAAGCTGGAAAAGCTGCAGGCCAGCCAGCAAAAATGTAATTTACTGCAAGGAAATGTTGCCCTAATTTAAGCCAAGGCGCAGCTGAAAATTTTTCCTGCAGCAAGTACTGAAAATTTATAGGCAAGAAAACCCAAAGAAATTGTGTCACAAATAAGTGAAATTAATAAAAACAAAAGTTAATATGTATGATAATACTGCTACTATTCGAAAATTTATGTGTTTGNTAAGCCAAGGCGCAGCTGAAAATTTTTCCTGCAGCAAGTACTGAAAATTTGTAGGCAAGAAAACCCAAAAAAATTGTGTCTCAAACAAGTGAAATTAATAAAAACAAAAGTTTAATATGTATGATAATACTGCTACTATTCGAAAATTAAGGTATTTAGCAAGAATAAAGCAAGCTTTAGCAAAATTTTTATACTGAAAACTGTGCAAAATTAAAGTGAAAATGCAGTGAAAATTTGCAAGCAGAAAATTTCGGTATGTGTGTGTATTCGCTAGCGTGTAGGTATGCGGACCTACATATTTAAGTACAAACATATATACTTACTACATACGTGTGCACGCATATCGGCTTGTCTATATGTTTGCTTGCAGGGGTGTACTAGGGCTTCGTGACTAGGACACATTTTTTCGTCGTCGTCGTCGTCGTCGTGTTCGTANTGTGTGTATTCGCTAGCGTGTAGGTATGCGGACCTACATATTTAAGTACACACACATATATACTTACTACATATGTACGTGTGCACGCATATCGGTTTGTCTATATGTTTGCTTGCAGGGGTGTACTAGGGCTTCGTGACTAGGACACATTTTTTCGTCGTCGTCGTCGTCGTCGTCGTGTTCGTAGTTGCTAACGTCGGGCGCCTTGCAGCAGCGCGCTGAAAACGAAACGATGATAGCGAACGAACGGAAGCTCGGCGAGTGTGTGCCAGACACCTAGATATAATTACTTACAAATTACTTACATACAATAAGTGGCATTCAGGCGAAGTTGAGTTATGTTTTTTTTTTTGGAGCCAGCAGCCATAGGGTTGCAAACGAAAATGTTAAATAACTATTTGCTTTTTCTTCGCTTTGTTGTGCAAAATAAGGAAATGGAAATGATACATATTCAAAGTGTGTAGCTATCGCCGTTTTTTTTTATTTTTTATTGGAAATTCGTGTAAGGTTCAGCAATATTCGTATAAATGTTTTCCTGCAATTACATACTTTATCGATGCCTCCGTCGCTATGCCCATGTGTCGCGATGTAGTACCAAGTATTTTTGGCGCTTAGTAGACACTCAACTACTTACCTCTCCATATCGCTACTCACGACTGCTTTTCATGCACGTTCTCTACCACTTGGCCAAATACTCCGACTTCTAGCATGCTTTCTCTTCCTTAGGCGCCTGAAAGCGCTATTTCGCATATCCTCTCACTTTTCCGTTGTCTATATATGTATGTTCATCATTATTTCTATTCAGGCGCATTGCTTTAGGGTCTGGTTATGCATACTTCGCATAACTTCGCACAACCATTTGTACCAGTGCACTAAAAGTGTAACTTAAGAAAATGTGAAGCAAAATCTTAGCTCAACAGATCGCTAAGTTTTTAAAAGTTTTGCTAATTTCTGGGTAATGGAATACATACAAAATACATACAAAGTACATACGAAATTACAGTTTGAAGTTTATGTGAAGTTGTGCGAAGTTATGCGAAGTATGCATAATCAGACCATTAGGCGTTACATTGGCTGGCAAGCTTGTTACAGCACATTGTTAGCAGCATACATATGTATGTATGTATATTAGAGTGCGTCACTCTTCATACAAAAAAAAATCGGTGCTGTTTTTCCATTGAAATTATAAAATCTATTATATTTTAAGACTTGCGCCAAAAAAATACTTTAAAAAATGGAGTTTTTTTATGTATAGAGATAGCTTCTTAAAATATTTTTAGAAAAAAATCCCCTCAGATGGCAAAAGAGTTTAAGCCAAAAAAATTGCATAAAAATATTTAAGAAACTATTTTCAACGGCATCATAATAAAGTAAATTTTTGATGCTGTTTTTGAACGTTTTTCAAGGATTGGTTTTTAAGCTCAAAATGGCTCCTCGACGAGTATGGTCGCGCTGACCTGTCGAGTTTTTATAAAGCAAATATTAGATTAAAATGCACACAAAAATGATGTCGTTTCATTAATAATAACATACAGCTTTAAATTAAGATTCATTGAATATAAATTCAAATTTTGAATCAAGGAAAAGGATTGGTTTAAGATAAACTTGTATATAAGTGTAAATGGTGAGAAAATTCCTTTCCAATGATACCTCATAAGTCTAAATCGGGACAGTTTTGGCTGAGTTATTCAAGTTTTCCCACAAATATTGGTTCTGAAAAAAGTTAAAAGACAACATAAAAAATCTTATTATTATGATTTTGTTGAAAGATTCTTGAAATATTTTTTTGCAAATTTTTTAGACTTAAACTGTTTTGTCATCTGAGGAGCGTTTTTTTTTCAAACCATACTTTCTAAATAGTAGGGGATGCGACCTTCATCCATCTGTTTAATGGATGAAATCTACTTTGTATGAAATTTAACGTGTTAGGAAATATTTCGCGAGTGGGTTGGCTGAACAAATCCTGGCCAGGATATTTTTAATTAAATATTCAAAAATTATTATTATTTTTTTAATTTTGTACTCATTTGTTGAATGAACAAATTACGTGTATCCCAATCGAAAGTATAAAGCCTATTAAGAGACTATTTTTATTCATAAAAAACTCCATTTTTGGAGGTATTTTCAAATCGGTCCAGCTCACGTAAATTTTAATATTTTTCCGAAATGTTTTGGTGAAGATCTTCAAATATAATCAATTTTTTTATTCCCGGCGGAAAAACTGAAATTTTTTTTTGGTGATGCAGTCTAATGTATGTACATATATACCTAAACCACACTCAGAGATAGAAAAGTACAGCACCTGCATATATAGCACTTTTTCAGCCCTCCACGATCCTTGAGAGTACGTACATACCTTTGTTTTTGCATATATAGTAACTGAACAACTGACTGCCTGAGAGTTGCTTTCAGATTTATTTATAATTTATCCTTACTGGTTTGCTTTGTGTATCATTCGCCCCGCCCGCCTACGTAGAATTCTTCGTCCTTTTTCTTTCTCTTTGTTTCAGTTTGTTGGTTTTCTTTGAGCTAAAAACTCGTTTCTTAGTTCGACTACTATGCTGACTGGGTGCCATGCCCTGGCGTGAAATTGATTGCAATTTTTTTTTGCCTGAGCTTTAATAAAAGTTATAAGACTTATGCCGTTTTTTTTTGAAAAAAAATGTCACCATCTTATATGGCAACATTATCAGAGTCTAACAATTTAAAGAAAGAGCATGCAATATGCATGTGAAGATGCTGAGAAAAGAACAGAAAAGCTTGACAGCCCTGGCGCAGGGCAGATAAAATGTTAAGTTATTTCGGGAAAGGAAAACGCTGTTATATTGATGCGCCTAAAAGATGCAGCGATTTCTATTCTCAAGTTACTTACCTGATGACAGTACGAATGGCAATTATAATAGGGAGGTTTTAGTTTTTTAAACTATAATTTTATTCTACTAGGGTACTTGAATTTGTTGTTTGCAGTATGCTGTACAACCACAAAGACACTGGCATGCAAAGCGTAGCACGGAAATCCAGTTTCTACGTATTCCTTCCTCATTTTCAATTTCCTTTATTATGAGTTTCTTGCTATCTATTCAGACAATATATGTATGTATAAGTATGAATACAAACATTTTTACATGGTAAACACTTATCTACGATGTAAAGTTGTTTTCTCTGCCAGCGCAGCTAATTTCGAAAAGTTTTCCTTGGTAATGGTAGATTGTTATCCTTGAGACTGGGACGCGAAGCAATGCTTCCACTTTTAATTTCTTGCATGTGTTCTTTGAAGATTTAAAAAAAAAACGGAGGGAAAATATTTTCAAATTAATTAATTTTTTTAATTAATTTTAAATTTTTAATTCAAATATGAAAAAAATAACACATAATATAAAGTAGCAAATATTTTTTAAACACAATAAGAAAACAAATAATTTTTAAGCAAAAAAAAAACGACTTCAATGCTATTACAAAAACTTAGCAGTACCGTTAGTTTCTGCGTAATTCAATGAATGGAGTTCAAGCAAATCAGTTTGCGAGCACCATTGAGATACAAACTTTCTGATTCAAAAAAAAATTTATGGAAAACACTTACACCAAAAAAATATATATATTTAGCTACATATATTAATTTAAAATTAGGGTAGTTTTGAATGATTTTTGGCTACATACATACATATTAGTAGTTACTTTTCCTGTGTTTTTGTCTAGCTAAAAATAATATTCGTCAGCATAGCACGTGTGCAGCATTCGCACATTCAATTAAGTTCGCGCAAAATCGGTTTACGCGCTAACATGCCTACCAACAATGCTTATTAACTCCCATTAACTCCCACAAAACATTAGTAAAACAAGCAAGAAGAAGAGAAAGAAAAAAAACTATACCAACCCAAAGCACATGACAAAGCTTTTCTAGTGCCTGTAAAGAAGGACATAGAAGCATATAATGAAGTACATATGTATGTATGTATGTAGGCGAGCAACTTACCCTACAAGACATTGCTGAGCACTTTAGGCAAAAATTCTCACACATTTACACTTTTGTTTTTGTAGTACGGCATAAATGAGTAGTTTGACTATTAGTACTGAGGACTTTCTGATGACAACATTGAGGGGAAAGTACTCAATTTTTTCCCATGGCCTGAACGAAAATGAGGACTTTGATAAGCACTTTTGTGATTAGGGATAATGATAATATGAGTACTCATATGATACTCAGCTGTCTTGTAGGGTATACATATGTATTGTATAAGTATTGTGACACGTTATTTTATATCGGTCACATAGCAGTTTTATAAACAAGCGCGCATGTGTTTATATGTATGTTTCTATCTTATGCTGAAAACTAGGACAATGTGCGTTCGTTAAGGAGTGTTGGTATTTTTTGGGAACGGCGAATGTGTTTATATGTGTGAACTAGGAAGCGAGTGAAACAATATGTCGATTAGCCGACAAACTAACTAACAGACTGCGTGACGAACAAACCAACTACCGACAAGGCGTCGTCGCAGTGTCTCAGCGTCTGCGTGTGAACAGCC